TTGCGTTTTAGTACATATATAATTTTTTTATTTCAATTAGTATCCATTATAAAGATAAATTAAGAATCATTGGCGTAAATAAAAGTACGATGATCCTTGGTACGCCAAGAGATAGAGACTTTGCCTTCCAAAGGAGGCGACCCAGTTTCGAATCCCAGCTGCGGCTGATATGAATTCCGCTTGCAGCTCGTAGACGTAATAGACGGATCATGGATCAGAATTTTCTAGCTGACGAACTAACCGTAGGAGGTTTTCATAGTTTTCTGTCATATAATGATTTGAGGTTTAGTTCCATCAAGAAGTCCTCTGGGTAGGCTGGTTTGTTTCGATGCTTCATCCAGGAGTTCTGTTGTCTTCTTGGTTGTGTTCAAAATTACAAGGCTACGGAGTTGAATATTGATAGTCACAAACTAAATTCATAATCGGGTAGGCTGTTTAGCGCTGGTTATAAAATAAAATAAAAGTATGGCGTTTATTTACAGTTCCCCAAAACTAATAAGTACATTTTCACCATTATTTTGCTTCTTAGAAAAAACCCTATTTTTTATTTCAATTAATTACTATTATCAAAACTAATCGACTACCATTGTCGTCAGTGATAGTTTAGCAGTTTTATACGTTTCTCTTAAACGTATTTCAGTAATATTTCTCTATCTAGCTTCCTTTTCAGCACATACCTTACTTTCTTTTAAAAATTTTATTTACCGTTAAATTTAAATTACTCCTGGATCAAGCAATGCAAAAAACTAGAATTCGGGGAGGACTTTTTCATTGAACTAACCGCATTTGCTTTGCATGGAGAGGAAAACCTCGAGAAATTCCCGAGGATAGCTCAGCAACAGGGAGATTCTTGCCCATGATCCGTTTAATACTGAGGATATTTTAGGTCAGAACTTTGGTCGTTGCGGAATTCGAATCAACCATCCTCCACTGGGATTCAAACCTGGGTCACCTCATTCGCGGATGAATGCTTTATCATCCGAGCTATGGCAACTCTTCTTGAATATATTTTATTTTATTTTATTTTAAAACAGTCGTTAAATAACCAACCCAATTCTGAGTTTACCACTACCAATTTTAAACTTGTAATTTTGAACCCAATATAGAGATCACGGAGTTCATTTTTCTTTTTTTTTTGATTTTTGTTAGATTTGGTATTGATGTGCAATTTGAAATTTTCTTTTTGAATCATTTGTTCACTACCGTTTGTATTTATCAGTGTTCGACACCCAAGCATCAAATATTTGACGACAAACGACCACCTTACTCCCTAATTTTTGTACACAATGACCTGGACTCATCCAATTTATCAAGCTTATACATTCGCTTTAAATTCTCTCACGCGAACTATTGGATCATTCATATGTGTGATGCACTTTTTTACCTTAATTGTTTATTTCTTGAAGTACAGCTATCTGGCAGTACTGTACTATCATTACTGCTATCATTGAAAGGCTTACATAGTTATTATACTCGTTAAAGTTTTATTTGAGTTACCTTTGTAATACAAGAGAGTAAATTAAAAAATAAAGAAAATTAAATGTTTTTATATGAGATTACTTAAAAATGAAGAATAAGGTATATTTTCCTTCACTATATATATTTTAGCTTGATTTCAAACACTAGAATAAAGCGCTTCCAATTGGAGATAAAATATTTTTACACGAAATGTTCCTTCCCATTGTTTCTTTTCTTAAGAAAAATCAACAAAAAGACTTGATAGGAATAGCATGCTTTAAATAACGTATTTTAGAGTAGCTTTCACTTAATTTTTCTGTACTTAACATTCGATATCAAGTTAAAAGCAAAGCGATTCTTCAATTGAAGCTGTTGGAACTATCTGTTCTCCGCATTCTACCTATCTGCCATGGGATACCGACTACCAAATTCTGATGAGGTGACTTGATTTACATAGCTATTATTCATATCACGAAACGTTTTAAATAGACCCTTGGCAACAACCCTCTTTCCATCTTGAACGTTTGGTCTAGATATTAAGTGAAGTGAAATATTTTAAAGTATACTTCATCTTCTCTCCAACTTATTGTAAATGGCGTCAATTTACATTATGAGATAACGACTCTAAGGTTCACTTATTTCCAAAGCATTCTAGTTCTAAAAACGAACAGTTAAGAAAACAAATAAATAATTAAAATGATAAATTCTTAATAACTTTTAATCAAGTGATATCCAATGAGGTTCTATACAAAGATTTTAATCGTATTTAAGATGTTATTATCTGGGTGTATATTATATGTTATTCTTATGGACTATGGCATCAGTTGATCTCTTCTCCCACCATCTTGAACTAACATTTTAGATATTATGGGATATAAAATTATTTATACTTCTCCAAATTCTCGCCAATTTAATATGACTGCGGCCATATTATACATAATTGGATAGAGAATTACAATTTCTAAACTTACATCTAATAGCTAAACAGGTTGCTAAAATTTTGCAGTTGGGAAAAATAGTAAACGAATAAAATAATAAAATTTTAATAATATTTACAATATATTAAAGTTTCTGAACTATCCACAAAGTATACCATATTTTCATTTGTTTTGTTTTTTTTGTTGCTTACAATTATAAGGCCATGGCCATGGAGCATATTATGTGCTTTAAATTGGATATGACGATAATTTTTTTTGTCATTCTTTCATCTTGAATATCCATTCTGTTTAAATGAAAAAGAGTTAGTTGAAGTTCTTAATCTCCTTCTCTACTTAATCGTTTTCAAATCAATCCAGTCTAGCAAACATAAACATATTTCCAAAAATATTATCATCTACCAAAAATGTACAGCTGTTAACTTCTAAACGTCTTTACGTTTTTAGCAATCACATATTTTTACAATGTAGGACTAAAGTATATCTCTCTACGCAAATTGCAATGTCAAAAATTGTGCAGTTACTAATGTTTTACCAGTCTATAAAAAATTGAAACGATATTTACTGTACTTTTCCCAGAAATTTCGAGAATTTTGGTTTGTGTGATTTAAGTTAATGCTGCAATTATTAAAAATTCGAAAGACAATTATTGCTATATAAAGACGTTTATTAACAATTTTAACCTTTTTTTACGAGCATCAGTAGTTTCAAATAATTTACAGTTAGTAAAATAATTTAAATAGTAAAGCCTTTTTTTTCTTCATAATAATATTCAAGTGTAATAAGATGTTTAACTATAAAGAGATTTTTCTAGTATTTAACATATAGTGGTCGTGGCGATATCATATGATCTTAAAAATCATTCTAAGTAAATTTTATTATTGATATATTATTTGTTTGCTTAAATAAATTTTTTTGTTGTTACTTCATTAGTTTGTTTCGATACATTTTATCGCTCATACAAAGCAAGTATAGTAGCTTCTAGACCAATTTTTGATGCATAATAGTTAGTTAAAAAAATGTATATATTTATATAGATTTTTGAACACAAAACTTTAAAAGCAATTTACTCGACATTATGCTTATCTTACTTGTTGTATCTCTTACTAGCACAATTTTCAACCGATTTATTTCCAATTTCAACACAATGTTTACCATTAATATAATTTCCGTTGCGGTTAGGAATATTTTAATTGCTTTGACTGATTTCAAATAATTCAACGAAAATGCAACTTATTTTATGATGTTTTTAAGTTTTTTTCTCCAATTTTTTTAAAAATCCTATGTGCTACGAAAACTAAATCATGTAGTTTAAAATAAATTTAAATGGAATCAAATTCGTATACTTTTTGTTCAATTTATGAATACATTAGGTTGTGGATAATTTAAGAAAACAAGTTGTAATATATTATATAAACGCTAATTTTTGAAAATTTTTGTATTTGTAACATGAAAAAATGAAGATTAAAATGTGTACAATAATAATAATGAGATAAGATAAAAAAAATGCATATAGTTTATGACAATCGTAGCAAAATTCATTTAAAAATCCTTCTGTATCGTAATAAAGTATTCTCCCTCACTTATTACCTACTCTCTACAGACTTCCTCCGTATTATTCTCCCTTTAAGCCAAAATAATCGCCAAGTTTGTCAGAAAGTCACTGAAAGGAACGAACTTGAACGGAATTTTTGCAAGCTTAAAATTGCTCTGGCACCTTGGCGATTGTTGCTAGCATGAACAAGTACCGATGCAGAAATTTTCTCAATAAAGGACTATTATTCGCATTCTAATCTAAATATAGATAATTTGCTGTTCATTAACAAGAAATATGTTCTTTATTATCAAATTATTCGGGGAGTTCATATAATAATTTTACTACGATGCAATATTTCAAACAATTTTATGGATTAGAATGCATTATATTTATCATACCTAAGCACAAATTATATACTATATGCGTTGCAATTCATTAGCTAATATTAGATTTTATCAACAATTCTACTTATTATATCTGGAAAAAAAAGGAAATTCAAATAAAATTCTGCATCATTCGATTTATTCAAATGCTTTAATCGATCATTTTTTCGGTATTTTCTTACTTTGAATTTTTTCCCAACTATGCCAACCAAAATTGAAAAAAAAAACCATCTAAATTTATTTGTTATTGGTTTCGTACACACTATTTTTACCTCAAACGAAAATTCAAATAATGTTTTTTTCTTCATCATTTTCTTTTTACTATTTAGATTTGATGAAATATCGCCTGCATTATTTCCTAAAAAGTTACGTCACAAATTAAAATTAAACGCAAACGATATTTTTTGTTACGCAAGTTTTTAAAGAAAATGGTTTAATTTTTTTTTCTGAAACGCATTTTTTTAAAAAAAAGCTTTCCTAAATTTTAAATTAAAAATTAATTTATTTTCAAATTCTAAAATTTAAAAAATAACATTAGTATCAGATTTTAATTGCAATAAATAATTTTGAAATAGAATTAAAAAAGTTTTCTGCATATTTTTTAATCGTTTGCTTATAAATAAATTAATCTCAACTGAAAGCAAGCGATGTTCCTGATCCTGATAGCTATAAGGTTGTTCTAAACGTCGATAGTAGGTTTATTGAATTCTCGTGAAAAATGAATGAAACTTCTGGAATAAATAAATTCACTTGTAACAGTAAATGGGAATCTCTAAGTGAGTACGAAAGAAAGCGCTATTCAAATATAGTTAAAAACTGGGAAGTTCTAAAATCTTTAGGTATGTAGAATTCTTTATCTTTTTTAATTAGATATTCCATAAAAGTATTATTGTGTGCTTAATTTTTGCTTAGATTTAAATAATTGATAACTAAATTAAATAAGAATTTAAGTAATTAGAACAATCTTCTTAATCCTTAGTTAAAATAGATAACTTGTAATTTCCTTATTTCTTTTTATCCAATTAGAAAAAAGATTATGTTGTTCAAATACTTATCTGAAACTGTTAAATATCTATCTGAAAGTTATCGAAATTTAAATTAGATTAAATATTCCTTTTTTAATTTTATTTGTGAAAGAAAAATTAGGAACCGTATGTTAAGTTTGGGAAAAGCATGTGAATACTTCCATATCGTTATCTATCACTCCAACTACGGCCACTAAGACACCGGGTGGATTTATAAATGGCTTATTAAATGTTCTCTAAAAAACAAGTAGCGGGATTTCTAAAAAAACATGTCTTCGGGAATGTAAAATTAAACCTTTCGAGTTTTTCCTCCTTTCTAATATTTTTTATAGTTTTTTGGAACACTGTCTGGAAGATCTTTAACATTAGTGTAAATATAAACACATAATTTAATAAGTCAATGAAATTATAAATGATTATGCTTTGAACAATTCCAAGGAGTATTTGAAAAATTTGCTACAATAAACAATGTTGTAATAAAATAATTTTAAAAGACTCTTTTTTAAAGAATAACGCTGAAAAAACATCATCATTCAACCGTGGTCACGCACCCACCCTTATTCTTAGGGTTCTATCTTTCTCCGGTCATAGTACGAGTGAACCATGTAATTTCAATCTTGATCGATTGACGTGGACTGCGCCTGAGCTGGTACCTTTTTTTCTACATCCTAAGAGATGAAAGGACTCTTAGTCACAACATATTTAACCTATACCTTGTTGTGTGTTTACGCCGACTGCTTAGTCGGCCATTAGGATCGAACTCACTGCCAGCAGTTCTTCAACCATCAGTGTGTGCGAAGTTTTTTTCTACTTAGCCAGAGAAATGCCACGTTGAGAAAAAAATAGTGTTTAAATTCTATTAATAATTTTTCAAACATTTTTTAAAATACACATTTTTAAACATTAGTAACTCTCTGTCACTCTCTCAGTGGCGGGGCAGCCCATAGAGGGCCAAGGCCTACTGTGCCTATCTCAGATTTCTTCACCTTGGGCTCAGGGTGCAGGAACAGATGTTCAAAAGCGGAACCCCCAGTGTTTAGTTCCCAAGCATGCTTGGTTCTCATTTATCGACCCACTGAAGGGATGAAAGGCTGAGTCAACCTTTCCCGGCCCGAGGATTGAACCCAGGACCCGTGGCACGGCAGCGTGAAGCGCTACCACTCAGCCCCCGGGCGTCAAACATTAATAACCATATAATTATTAATATTTAAAAAAAAAAACATAAGACTTTAAAGATAAACATAATGCAATTTTTTAAATATATTTTATGATAAATATGTTTTTTGAAATCAAAAAAATAATATTTTTGTTATTTTGAATAAATTTCATTTAATTTTTAGGAGTTGCTACGAAACTTCCTGAATTTCTGGAGCCCGAAAAAGAATGTTCTTCAAAAGCAAAAAAGATTCCGAGAAACAACAAAAGTATTTCAAGAAGTCAGCAACATGGTAAGACGTTGATCTAAATATCACTAAGCGATAATTTTATTACTTTTATTTGCTAAAGCTACACTTAAGTTTCAAAATATTTTCAATTTTTGGAATAAAATATACTTATATAAGAAAAAACAAAAACATTAAAATTAGATCTAAAATTTTCTTTAAATACAAATTGTATTATAAAATTCAAAATAAATAGTTATAAATAATTATTAGTAGTTATGTTACTTCCATGATAAACATGTGAAGGCCTTAAAGTATACTCTGAATTTAAAATAAGGATGTTTTAAATTTTCTTTTATTAAAACAAAAGAAGTATTTTTTAAAAGAAGAAATGTTTATGCCAAATGCAAATCTGTTTGTAACAAAAACCTATGATGTTTTTTTCCTACTTTTAATTATTTTATTATTTGTTGTATCTAAAGCTTAATACCTTAAAATACATGATCATAATTACCTATTTTTTATCAGAACAGAATATTTTTAACCATATTTGACGTTAGCTGAAAATTAATTGTACAGAAAGCATAGAACATAACCCTAAAAAAAATCTTTTCTTCTTAATTGTTAAAAAACGCACAGGAAGCTATTGCAATGGAAAAATTGATGAAGTTGAATCAGCGAAAAGCAGAAAGAAAGTATTGCATATCAAATTAAAAATCTATTTGCGAATTCCAGCTAAAAATAATTAAGGAGCTAGCCGTCGAACAACTTAGATACTTAATAAAAATCATGAAATTGTAGAATGCTTATTGGCAATGCTATCGTTGAGATCGGCAAGTACTTTGACATCTTGTTGGATCTTGTGTGAAAGAAAGAGAACATAGTTTTAGTTATTTTTTATTACCAATTTTAAACTAAGGGAGAATTGGTAAACATACTTTATGAAGAGGCATTCTTTCTTATCCTCGAAGAAAGCTCACACCCTCAGTCACTGCGCCATCTGAAATTCTAGAAATTATCTGGAATTTAGATTAGATCAACCCTAGAATTCTAGATAATTGTCTCAAAATGTGGTGTTAATGGATTTAAAAATGTGGTTGAACAGTATTTTTTTAATTAACAAAAATTAGCTGTTTATTTATAGGTACTTTGAGTTTTTTTCTAATAATAGTTAAATATAAATATTAATAATTAATAATTATTTTATATAAAGCTCACCTATTCCCTCCATTTATGCCTCTAAAAATACAAATTTTAGATTGCGTTTGGATATCGTCAAGTAGCAGCAACAGAAAATTATTTACAATTGAGCACGGGAAAGAATGATTTTTTTGTTACTGTTTCTCTACAGAAATAAAAAGTTCGCTCTTATAATGTGCATGCATTTTTTTAATCGTGTAATAATAGTTATATTTCAATTTTATTATGTTTGGTTTCTATTCTCCTATGTTCTGTTAAGCTAATTTCAAATTCTTCTTAGCGTTCTCTTTTTGCTGATTGTATGTTTGATTTGCAAACTTTTTAAAATTTTGTGAGTACATGAATCCGAAATTAATGGCTCTTATTTGAAATAGTATGGTAAAATTAACTTTGTTGAATCTTATGTTGCTCATACCTTAATGTGATAATACGTTTCGGTATTACTGAACATCAAAAATAGTTGCTATTACTTTAAGTGGTGTAAGAGAGCCTTTTTGGCATTAACTGCAGCACGTTTGGTGCCAAGTTCTGGACACCGTTCCTCATGCTACGATATTTTTACAGAGTACGTTTTGTTTAGATAAATTTCAAGTCGAAGCTTTCAGCTGTCAGCCTTTAAACCGAAGTTACATTAGTTATTGATTTATTTTTCTGTGAATGAGTACGAGTTTTTCAAAATTTTAAGAAATTATCATCTTAAGCAAATGTTATTAATTTTTAATAGAAAAATAATAAATCATTATCATTTTAAATAATGTGTCAGCACTTGGTAACTTTATAAATTTTAGTTGTCTTTATTTAGTTTCTGTCGTAAGAACGGAAAATTTTAAATTCTGCCCAATGCTATTTCGTCATTTACTGCTCATGAAAAATTAACACTCAAAATTCCTAGCATACGACAGAAAATTTATAGCTGAGATTTTAGAAATACTAAGAAAAAGATGATTTTTAAGATCATGTTACTGATTTAGGACTATCATTCCACGTTTCGCATAATAAGGGCAGAAAGATGTAAGAAAAAAAGCAAAAAAAAACCTTTTACATTTATTACCAATGATAATGGAATTGATTATTTTCATTCGTATTATTATATCTCAGAAGCTATAATTTAAGAGAAGTAATTTTTTCCACAGAACATTATCCGTAAAGTAGAGAGGGAAGTGATGTGGCGGTGGAAGTGATGTGTTCTTAAATTGTCTAAGAGATTTACAAACTAAAAATATAGAATTTCATTATCCATTCCAAAATCTGTGTTTCAAATCCCTTATATTTTTTTTTATCTATGCAAACTATATTTTCACCATTTTATCATAAAATATATGGAACCGAAGTGAAAATACATATTTATAACAAATGCGAAGTAATGTCAAGTCTGATTTCGTAATTAGATTTATTAGGATTGTTTAACTTCTCATAGCTTAGGCAATTTTGATTTTTTTAAATAGGAACTGGGTAACAATTTTTTTTTTGTTTTCTATTGCAGTAATTTTTTTCAGATCTTAAATCCTTTGTATTTCCGATCGTCGATTTGAATTAATAAGGTTCTTTAACTTAAACTAAAAAACCTAAATATATGTTTTTCAATGGGGAAATTGTTTTTCCATATCATGAGGTTTATTTTTTAACAAATCTTAGATACTTTCATATCGCTGATTTGAAACCTACAACTGGTTTCTCTCTCCTAGCTATGTTTTATTTCTAAATGGCATTTTTCGTCTATTTTTTGGAGAAAAATACAAATTTAAAAAGTTATATATATAACAAGGGATCGTATAAATTTTGCTACAAACTAAGGGAAACATCATAAGGGGACAAAAAGGCACCATCGGTATTAAAATTGCATAAGAACACGTGTCGTCATAATGGTATCATATGACGCTAGAAGTGTTTTCTATTGTTTAATGTTTCGTTGAGTACTTCTGAACAGGTCAGAACAGGGAAACGTTTCTAGCATTGTACGGTGACATTACCTGTATAAGTTCTTATAGAATTTCATTCCTGATGATATGCTCTAACTCCTCTAAAAGTGCGTCACAACATTTATGGGTTCTCCTATTGTGTATAGTGTTTTTAAACTTGTACATTTCGACTAAAAATAGACTAAAAATGTCATTCAAAAATTGAACCCTTAAACGCAAAATTAATTTCAGATTCGAAATCCTTTCAACCAAATTAAGCAAGATGAAGTATTTATATAAATGCAAAAAAAAAAAAAAAAAAAATTACTTGTTCCCCAGTATTAAGTTATCTCCCATTCTTTTGACAGTCAAAGGGATCGAGAAAACGAATTTCAAGTTATTTGCTGTATCTGAATCACAAAAAAGAAAAGAAAAATATGGTCAAAAAAGTAAGATGTATAATTGTTTCAATATATTATTTGTTTGTATAAAAAAAACTAATTAAACGATTGATAAAATTATTTGGCGAGATTTTCTTGAAAATATGTTTTTTCTTTCAGAGACTAATCAGAATAGCGGGAAAAAGTTGAGATTGAAGGAAAATGTAAGTAGTAAAATTCGAAAATCAATTGTTGAAAAAAATATCTATTACAGAGGGGATAAAATTAGTGTTTTCGTCATATGTACTTTAAAAATATTTTTGAATTATGTGCAATATTTTTTAATTTGATTTCTTTTATTTAGAAGTATTATTTCGCAAAAGTAAATGCAAATATAGCTATAAGTAAATACAAATATAACTAGAAACTCGAAAGAAATAGTCCTAAATTATAACAGATTTAATTTTTAAATGTAATTATACAAAACTTTAAAGAGTAGCATAATAAAGTTAAATATTTTGAGAATTTGATCATAATTTATTAATGACATTTATTTATGATCTCCTGTTAGAGTGTGTGCTTTATTTGGTATAATACAAAAACAAACAAAAAAGAAATATCTTTTAATATTATTTTTTTAATTGTTTTTACTGGTTTTATGAGAAATAGTGCTTTAAAACCAGCAAGATTTTACGAAGCTATTGTCAGAGCAGTACTATTATATGGCGCAGAAACCTGGAGACAGACTAAGATCGAAATACAAAAATTAGAAACCTTTCAAAACAAATGTTTAAGATTTATTTTTAAAATTTTCTGGCCTTACAAAGTATCAAATCAAAATCTATTAAAGAAAGCTAAAATAAAAACAATCGAAGATGAAATTAAAAAACGAAGATGGAGCTGGCTCGGACATATCCTTAGAATGCCCAAAGAAAAAATTTCATTCGATCTCGATGTATCNCTACCAAACATTCACATTTACTACTAAACAGTATAGTAATAAAACCATATTTTATTGTTAGTTTTACAGAAAATTACTTTTAAAACTCTTCTGTTAAAATTGCCGTGTCTTTTATTGTTACATAGGTCAGAAACACATTAAATTTTACTATATTTTGGTAGTTTTGAGAATACTTTTTTTCTCATTGTATGAAATGATGAGTTGCCGATGTAATTAAAATTTGATGATGAATTAGTAATAATAGAAATATTAATTATAAATTGTAAAGAATTGTAGATAGATATTTTTTTTCTCCGGTGAGGAAGCATATATTGTAATTTCATATAAAGGAGAGTTGTACTGCATACTTGTAATACATTAGTACTACATACATAGCTATAAATTCAAACAAATGTCAACGACTACCAGTCATAGTTTGTAAAATAAATTTACTAGGAGGAATTATTCTTGACATATACTTAAAAGTATTTTTTTGTTATTCTACTATTTTCTATTATTACTTCTAGATTTAAAGATATGATTTAAGTACCAATGGGTTGAAATAGTCTAGGAACCCTTGACATGTCCTTCATTGCTTTCAAAAATGATGTTATTGCATTCCCTGAGAGAAACTTAGTCTTTTTTAACTATTCGGTTGAATTTACTAGGAAAAATCGAATCTTTTCAATGATAATTTTATTTTAGAATATTAGTTATTTATCAATAAATGCATTGCATTTCAGACGGAACAAGAAGTAAAAATTAATCCAAGAAAAATGGGTTTTAAGAAATTTGCAAAGATTTTATTGGAGAAAGCTCAGCGCCATTTTAATGATTTGGAGCCATTGTTACCTGAAGAAGATCAGGCCTTTGAAAATGAAATAGATAAAAGTAAGATGATGCATATATTTTTAAAATGTAGATTTATAATTTTCTTAGGTAATGCAATCGTCTGTAAAAAATATAGACATATCACATTAAATCTTCATTATTTCTGCTATAAATACTTACTTTGTTTAGAACGGTATTGTTAAATCAGGCATTTTCTACATTTTTTTATAAAATTCTCTTAAAATTTCCTTACGTTTATGATTGTAAACTAACGAAATAAGAGTTACAGTAAGTAATAACAGTGTAAGCTACATCTTAAAGAAATTCTCTCAAATTTTCTTCCAGTCTAATACAATGGAGTTATAATAAGGAATAGGGTATTACACTTCAATTTTAATAATATTTACTAATTTTTTTTTCTATTTCTTTATATGGTACTACAAACTATTGCTGCGGAATCTATCCCCAAAACAGTATGAAGCTTCAATTATAACAGCATGTCTTCAATTTCTTAAGAGTCAGTTTTTTAAAGAATTAATCAGTCTAGGATTGTTGGTAATTCTGATGTTGCACAAATTTTCAGTAAACATTTTTATGTAGAATTATTATGTATGCTTTGTTATAAAAATTGAAATTATACTAAAAATTAAATGGTATTCAAAAAATAATTAATGATATCTGGTATTAAAAACTAAACACATCGATTTATATTTAACGATGTTTTTAATGTCAAGATTGAATTATAGTATGAAAAATTATATTTTGTTTTACTACTTCCAAAATAAAAATTACGACACAAATATTTTTTTTCATATTTAAAGGACATTAATTCAAAATTCTTTGAACTATAGCATTTTACCCCACTAAATATTCATATGTAACTCGTAAAGAAACCTTAAGTATAGCCGTAGCGACATCAATTCTAAACTCTATTGAACCTTATTTAATTTTCTTCACTAGCTTCTACTATTAGAAATAAGTTTCTAAGTTATTGAATTGTGAAATAATTAGGGGATAGTTAAGAAATTGTTTTGTTAAGAATTTAGACTCAGTATGGTTAACAGAGATATTTCTTGTCCCCCGAGTATCCATCTTGATTTTACATAGATATTGCTGTTCTTGATGTATTTATTATGTTGAGTCAAATGAAAATTAGCCCAAATAGATAGGTTTGTTCCAACTATTTTGTATCAAAAATTAAAAAAAAAATTAAATGCATGTGTAAAACTACCAAAAATTCTTAAATCATCTTAGCTTGGCATCAAAATTATGTAATTCGAATGAAATGTTTTCTAGAACTGTTTCATGAACTAACCAAATGCTGAATTACAAATTTTGAATAACCGAAATATTTTTAAATGCATAATGAAATTATCTTTTTCGGATAACATTACAAATGATTTTTATTCTGAAAAATGCATCTAGGACATTTTGGTTTTGTATAAATTTAAAATATGTTTCAATATCTTAAATTTTATCTAATTCATTAAGTGTTCATTACCTAGTTTGATATACATATTTTCTATTTTATTTTATCGTTTGTGTAACTCCTTAGTCATAAAAAACAACGGATTACAAAGTTCTAATAAAAAAATCAGAGATAAATACGAAAAAATTTTATTCTTCCCTAGAGCTTGAAACTCATAGTCGATATCCTAAAAGGAATATGAAAAAAAAGTCTTACAGAGAAGAAGATGTTTCGAGTGAAGACGAGTTCCTGTGTAAGTATAACACTTATTTTTAAAATATACATTACATTATCACATAATGCAGATATGCATCATTCTGAGTGTTTTATTTGTTTAAATAGTTTTTGAATTGCTTGCTCACCTTAAAGTACATAGAAGCAGGAAAATAAATAATTTTGTGATGAGATTTTAAACGTATATTTATTTAACCCTTTTTTATCCTCTCCAAAATTTAAGCAATAAATTCCATACTAAAATTAAAAAAATTGTGGGATGAAAAACATTAAAAAGCAATTCTGTTCTCATCTGTATTTTTTTTGGAGAGATTATAAAAACTGTAACTAAGTAGAAATTGAAGAAAAAGTAGAATAATTTTGAAAAGAGCATTCAATATTACCTGAGTTGATTTAGATTTATGCTACTAATACAATGCTTAATAAATTTTATTCCAATGAAAAACTAAATTTTGTTTTAAAACCATAAGTCACCGTCACCTTTTACTAAATATGCTTTCGTTTCTATATTTTAAAACGAATTTATTCAAAGAAATACTACATTTAAACTACAATTTTAGATTCATGTCATTTTTCCATTTCTAACAAGCAAAATGTTAAAAGAAATACGAATTATAAATATTTTAACTTATTCCTTTGTCGTATTATAATTTATCTTTTATTGTAATCTTAGAGCATTTATTTTACTTTTCCAATGACAAAGAGAAGATAAATTTAAAATTTTAAAAAAAGTAATCATACTTTTTATCAATTTAAATCACCGCAACAATAATAACTTTCATTTTATAAGTATATGCAACATATTTAAATAACATACTTTTTAAATTCAGCAGTTATCTAAGAAGTTTATTGCATACGTAGTTTTAATTTTTCTTTTCTTTTGTAAAATTTGAGCATACTACTTTCAGTTACTATCAAAAAGTAAGTTAAAATATTTTGCGTAAAAATTATTCGTTTGAATTTTAATTAATTGCTAAAGCAATAATATATTTTTACTTTATTAAATTTCCAAATGTGAATGTCTATATAAATTACTTATTATGTATAACTGAGTGGAAATATTTTTATACTATCATCGTATATATGAGCATTTTGAAAATTAGTGATTTATTTTTTGTGTGCATAGATTGTGACTTCTGTGATTGTGACTATAAGGGTGCTTGTCCGAAACACGGCCCTATGCTTTTGGTATGTGATAGAAGAGTAAGTATTAAATGGTTAAATAAGAATTTGTAATAATTAGCAATAGAGAGTAGTAGTTTAATACGCGCGTTGTGTGGGTTATGATATACATTAACTTTTCACCGCATTCTGTAAAATATATATTTATCATCGATTTGCTAAATGAATAAATTTGTCAGAGTAACTAAACCATAATTAAATTTACTGGAATTGCACTGAATTTTGAAGTTTTAAATCAAACAACAGCTCCTAAAATGCATATTTATGGACTTATTCAGGTAATACCTTATTAAAAATTATAAATTAAAACGCAACAATTAATACTTCTGAAAAAAAAAATTTTTTAATGATAACCGAAAATAGCAGAAGTGCGTTTTGCATTAACGACTATCAACAATATTCCATTTTTTTAAGAACTACACATATTTTAATGATGGTAATGTATAAATTTAGTTTTTTTGTCTTTAGTATGCATTAAGTAATGTCCAATATTTTAAATAGCTTTTCTATAAATTTAAAGCAATCTTTTTTTTGTTTACATTGCTTAAGCTAAAATCTTGAGACTTAGGATTTATTGTGATTGCAGAAAACTTGTTCATTTCTGCCAAACGAAGTTTTAATACTTTTTGATGATTTTTAAATTTTACTTACATTTCTTTATGAGTCGCAATAAATTTTGTAACTTATCTAACAGTTCAATATTGCATTGAAATAAGTTTCTTAGTTGCTTCCTTTGAATATAACTATCACAAATTTGTTTTAGCGAAATAAGTTTAAATAAGAAATCCATGTCAGCCTAAGTACATGGCCATATGTATTTTAAATTTCAGAAAATATATTTCTAAAATATATAAACAAATCTTTTTAAATTCCTAAAGTATATAGTATAATTTATAAGGTTGTATTTTTACATATATTTTATAGGTTTTAGATACACGAAATTGACATTAGATGAAAATGACGTTAGTTATGTTTTCCTTATAGTAAAATATTACCCCAGTATGGTTATTGTTAAATTAACACATTTTTCTAGTATCTTTGTAGAGTTTAAAATTTTCAACACATTGTAGCATAAAATTAATGTTTGATTCTGTGAAGATACTGTTAAGGAAAGGAGAATGTTCAAAATTCAAAAGCTCGACTTTTATCAAATGTCTTCTTCACCTTTCTTACTACGTATTTGGAAATATATCGTTATAAATACATTTATTCAGTGAAACTATTTTTTTGTCTTGCATATTCTTATACAATACAATTTTCCTGATAATAAATGCATATTAAAATGGAATATTTACTTGCAATATAGGTTCCCAAAAATACACCAGATCGAGCTGAGCTGACAATTCCAAGTTTTCTCTCTATTGGAATATCGAGCATTCCCAAAGCAGGATTTGGAATATGGACTGAAATACCATTGCCGATTGGCACAGTTTTTGGACCTTACAAAGGGAAAATTATAAAAACACAGAAAGAGGCTGAAAAATCTGGTTATTCTTGGATGGTAAAACTAGTTACTTTTAAAAATTCCACTCCCTTTTTTTAAAATTATATTTTTCATTATTTTCTTTTAAAAAATGCAATCATTTAGAATACAGATTTTTATGAGCATATTTTTATTTTAGTTAAAATAAAGTTATTAATTTCATTCAAAACTAAAGGTATAGATGTAAAAAATGCCACTAAATTTAATGGCTAGAGTAAAATTATTATTTATACTTAGCACTTAGTTTGGCACTTAAAAAAAATATATTTTTACTTGTGCACAGATAAAATACTTTGGAACATCATTTTTTTTAATCAAATTGAAAGATTTTTCTCTTAAAAAAGAAGTGCAATTTTTGAAATAACTCATTGTCATTGTTCGAATGAGCAAAAATATAAATAATTCTCATAATATTTTATATATTTCTATAAGAGTCTATTTTTAAATTATTACGAACATACTTACTATTTTTTTAAAGTCTATTAGCTGTAAAATATTTTATTTAAAGCTACTCGAACTTAAAAACCGTTTGATTTGCACGGTTTAATTATATTTAAAAAGTAGTATTTTTTAAAGCATTTTTCTGAAGTACTTTTATTTGATATGTACATAGTAACGCTCAATGCATTAAATTATGTTACCTTGTTGATCAATGTTTACTTCTTTTTGTTTAGATATGGAAGGGAGGAAAAGTGGATCATTTTATTGAGGGATTCAAAAAGGATATTTCCAATTGGCTGAGATTCGTGAATTGTGCTGATAAAGAAGAGAAACAAAATTTAGTGGCAATCCAGTACAAGAAGCAAATCTATTACAAGACTTACAGAGAAGTGTTACCATTTCAAGAGCTTCTGGTGTGGTATGGAGGAAAATATGCTTCCGATCTTGGAATAAACTTAAAAAGGGAGACTGAAACCAACCAACCAAGTAAAAATAATCAAATCTATGCCTTAATAGTCGGTGATAGAGTCTGTTATATTATTTTATTATTATTATTATTATTATTATTTTTAATCTAAGCATTTTATAGTCTAAAACTATAGAATGCTTAAATATTATGAGTATTAGATTGTATGCTGTTATAGTCTAAAACTCTTATACAGTCTCATTGATTTTCCTTTTTTGAAGAGTTTAGAAAAAAAGTTGTCAATATTATTGTTAAACAAAATGCTCTTTTATTACCCTGCATCATATCCTTAAAATGTTACCGAGTGAAATGTATCCTGAACATATTTATTTTACTTTTTTTTGTCTTCGTGAAGAAATACTTTTTTTCTCTTTTTCTTATTACTTTTTTACTCAAAAACTTTCTGCTGAAATGATTTATTTATACAATTCAATATTAAGAAGTATTATTTAATATCACAAAATATTTTATGATATTCGTAATAGCAATTGTGTGCCTCATCCCTCAAACGCCAAGTTAAGGGCACACCTTTGTTAGAATTTACTAAATATTGAAAGAAAAGCTAGTAAATGTGACAGTGTTGAAAAATATTCTTAAAGAAGTATGAATTTTCCCAAATTGAAAAAGCATAACTTAAAAATTTGAAACTTGATATTTTTTTATCCTGTCTGCTAGTTTTACCTTTATGTCAAATTTTTGCTGAAATCAGAAGAATTGTTCCTGAAAAATTGAATTCCGATAGAAAAATTTGATTTCTCACGAAATATTCAGTCGATTTAGTTCAAATGTTGTATTTTGTTATATACGATTACTTTAAAATTATATAAAAATTTTGATGCTTTAGAATTCAAAGTTTTCAGACTATTTTTAAATAAAATTATAAAAAATAATGAATAACTATTAAAAATTACTTTGTATGTGAAATTATCTTTGGAAAATTGAATTTCATAATTGTATGCCAAGAATTTTTCATTTGCTTTGAAAAAATATCGACATATTACTATGACTTCATGAATATATTTTTAACAAGAAACCTTCAACAAGAAGCAAGAAGAAAGAAGAAGAGTTAAAAACCTTCTTGAAAAATGGCTTTAAAGAGCATATTGTGTGATTGCTGTTACAAAAGACGTTTCAAGCATTCACTTTTTCTGTTCTAATTACTATTTCGCTCATTTGGTGAAACAGTGACATAGCTGCAAAACCAACCTAAATAGAGTAAACACGTCAAGAGCTATAAAAAGGCAAAATTTATTTGTAGAAACAATGACAGAATTGCTATTGCAACCCTAGAGGGTAGTTGGACCCATCTATCCTAAGATGTATAAAAGTTGTTATGATTTAAATTTTGTTTTTTGGGTGTCCTGCACAGCTCGATAATGATCAGTTACGTCATTGCTTCACCAAATGAGGATATAATGGTTTTTTCTTTAAAAATTTTTCAATTTTTGATTTACTCTAAATCAGTTCATTTTATAGGTGTAAAAGGTGTGGCATGCAATGTCTGCAGTTCATTGTTCACATCCGTGGATGCCATGGAGCGACACAGGAGGAAACATCCTCATCAGGGTCACGATCGAAGGCATCGATGTCCCCACTGTGTCTACTCCACCAACCTGTCATGTAATCTCCGACGTCACCTCGCTACTCACACGGGTGAGAGGAGACACGGATGTCCCCACTGCCACAAGACATTCACTGAAAAAGGAAGTCTCAAGGCTCACCTGAGGATCCACAGTGGAGAGAGACCCTTCTCTTGTGGAGTGTGCGGAAGAGACTTCACTCAAAAAGGACACTTGGAGGTACACGAGAGAAGTCACAGCGGCATCAGACCTTACCGATGTTCCACCTGCGGAAGAGATTTCACCCATTCTTCCCATCTTCAAGCACACATAAGAATTCACACCCTGCAGAGACCCTACAAGTGCTCCACCTGCCAATACAGGGCCAACACATCTACTCATCTTAATAGTCACGTTATTCTGAAACACACAAAACAGTTCCCCCATAAGTGTCACCTGTGTGAAAGAGGTTTTGTTCAACCGAGTCATCTTAAACGACACAAAGACAGCACTCATCCTCAAGACAAATAAATAAATCAAGAATTGCGCACGATGTCAATTTACCATCATGAAGAATGAGAGATAGAAATTATCTTCGTTTGTGGTTTTCAGCTTTTATTGTAACTCTTAGTTGATGTTTTTTAAAACAGCAGTTGGAACATGTGTAGCGTATTTAATATCCGTATACATATATAATGATATATTATCATGCATTTTCTTTAATTCTGCATAAATCAGAAAAATTGCTTAGAGCAAAGACCTTTCATTATTAAGTTTGTGAAGGATATTTCATAACAGCATACTTAACTGACTATTACGCATTTTTACTTTAAGGATGTGTTTCTAGAAAGAGGGTCATGACCCGCACGGAAAATGGAGACAAATTGGGTAGGGATCGCGAAATTAAATTCCTGTATACATATACAGTCCCTGGCCAAATTATTAGACGCACTATGAGATCCTATAAAAAATCTTAATTACCAGGTGACATTTTGCAGCTTTATTGCTGCTATTTGACTGAAACCAGTTTGCACTTTTTAACGTTAGTGTATCAATTGGTTATATTAGACGATATATACTATAAATTTGACGATAGGATAAAGTAGACGATATATTATATAAATATAGAATATTTATCACATCAAGCATTTTATTAGTATATTATAATAATTAGATCAAATTAATAGACGCACTGTAGTGTTTTAATAATGACACGATTTGCACTAGTTTATATGTAATACTTTCATATTTAAACATACATGCAATGGGTTTTTATTCAAAAGATTTTTTATATACTTTATATATATAATTATTTTCAACGCATATATTGCATTGCAATGTTAATCAATTGATACAGGAGTGTAAACAAATGTTAACCTGTTTCATTCGAGCAAAAACAATACAGCTTTACAGTATCACCTGATAAATAAAATTTTACATAGAATCTTATAGTGCATCTGATAATATGGCCAGGGAACTGTAAATGAATAAAAAAACACATTTCAACAGACTCTTGGCAAAAAAAATTTTTTTCGAAGAAATTACAATATAATTACATGTTGTATTGCTGATTACATTTCGCCTTTCTATATATATTACTAATCAGACATTTGGATTTATTATCGTAATAAATGCTTGTCTTTAATAGACCCCAAGTTAGAAAGAGAGTGACAAATTTCTCGTAAAGTAGTCATTTCTCTTTTTTTATATATTAAGATTTCGGAGGTCCAAAAGCTTAAAAAAACAGCTTAAAAGAATAAGAAATTAATAACTTCACACGGAGGACAAAATTCTAGTAAAATAAACGTATTGTATGCTAATGACGTTTATGATAATAAAAATATAATTCTGGTTTATAAAACCAGCACAACGGTATTTAAACCATCCATTTAGTAATTTTCCCGTTTATAAGGTAATGGTATATCAAATTTCAACTGATTTCAAATTTTACTGATTTTCGAAATTAAAGTTCCTATTACCATGTATTTAGCAAAAAAACAAATTTAACCCAATGAATAATACCAATGACGAAATTTTATAAAAATCATTATCTCTTCGGTAAAAATTGGAGTTTTTTGGTGTTCCCATAGAGCCAGAAGTATGGTCAATTTCAGAATAGTCTAGTAGTTTTGAACATACCTTTTCCCTCAGTGCATATTTTTTGTTTGTTTTGTACGTTTTGAGGGGTAAAAGTGAATACATTTCAGTAGAGATCACTGATTTTTATGTTAATGAATTATTAATTTATATATATAGTAATATATTTAAGTAGAATTTTTGATTCTTACAAAATAGCACAAATTTGATTATATTTGTCGTTATTCTATGCATACCAGGATTCAAAAGTAAGACATAAATATCATATAATACGGAATTAATTTCACTTATTTTAAGCAAAATTATCTCATAAATTATTTCTAACTATAAATGGGTTATTTGCCTTTATCAAACCAGCATGAAATACAAATACATGATTATCACATTTCGTAGCTATATTCAATAAAATTTGGCTAATAAAAAAAAGCAAATGTTCACAATTGAAAAAAAAATGTGTTAATTTGGGAATCGTTGTAAACGATTTGTTTTATTTCTTAACGATGCCGGGCAGATGATTGAGCGGTTAGCGATCCTGACTGCGAGGTTAATGGCTGCGGGTTCGAATCCCTATCCGGGCATAGATGTTTCTCTCTGCTTGTTGTTCTCTATTGTGTGATATGTGAGCCGCGACGGCTCAGGGCATAGAACGTTCGCCTTCCAATGAGGCGAACCGGGTTCGAATCCCAGTCGATATGAATTCCACATCCGGCTTGTACCGACCACATAGCTGACGTGAAATATCCTTAGTGGTAGACGAATCATCGGTTGGAGTCCCCTTGTCGTCAGGCTAACCGTGGGAGGTTCTCGTGGTCTTTCTCTCCATGTAACGGAATTGCGGGTTAGCTCCATCAAAAAGTCCTCCACGAAGGCAAATTTCTTCCAATACTCGACCAGGAGTTCCCCTGTCTTCTGGATTGGATTCAAAATTACAGGCTTACGGAGTTGAACATTAGTAGTTGTAAACCCATAGAATTGGGTCGTATGTTCAACGATGGTCATGAAAAAAAATATTGTGCAATGTGTGAATGTCAGAGCTAAAGAGAATAGAAGGGCTGGTTCACTCTTTTGAAGTAGCTCTCGCCGCGCCAATCCTCCGATATTCTCTAGTGACATCACTTTGGCGCAAAGCTAGCACTTTTACTTCAAGAACGGAGCGTTCGGCCTTACTAGCTCTAACTAATATTGGATCATTTCTTTTTGCGAGATATTCTAAGACATTTGTTATTTTCTATAATGACTTTCCTCAGTTTTTGCAGTGAATTTACAAGAATTTAAAACTATTATCGAAATGCCAGTTTGCGCGATTGCAACTTGCAAAAATTCTGATATAAAAACAAAAGGAAAAAGTATAATTTTTCGCGTGTTCCCTAAAGTAAATGAACAACTATGTAAAGAATGGATTCCGAAATGACACAGTTAATATAAAACAGCAATACGTTTATTCTGTCGTAAAGAACTTTTATAAAAATTCATTATCTAAATAGAAACCGCCTCGTTACTTCATAAAGAAAGGCAGGTGAAAAGAATTAAAAAATAGATAAAGTCAAAGAAAATTAAAATGTAAGTAAAAAGTATAAATAAAATATATAGTATATAGTTGAAATTCTCCTAATTTCATAACATATTTTTTAATGTAGTTATTCTAAATATTTATGATTTTTTTTAAAAATTATATTCTCTTCAATTTAAATATCTATAAATTATATCATCGTAAATTTAAATGTCTATAAACAATTGTAAAATTTCTAATGTCATTATGAACCTAAATTATTATTTTGTTTCAGTAATTAGCGTTTAAGGTTGATGTTTCCTAATGATTAAGTATGAACAAATTGCTATTAACGACATATTTTAAAATCAGGGATTCTAAATTTAACTTAACTTATCTTTATAAAAGAATATGTAGATAAAAAAAGTGTCGATATATGCCTTCATTTTTCTTAATAGTTAAAGTTAAAACTGAACTTTTTAAAATAAAGTATTTATCGTGTCATTTTCACCAACTAGCAAAACATTTTTATAAGTTTAAAATGGTATTTTTTTAATATAATAACCAAGAAAGTTTTTTTTGAACTATGTTTATGAACGGAAATAATGTGTTAATTACGTAAAGTTTGAAAGCTAATAACCAGAAAAAGTCCAACTTATTTTTACAAAGAGAAAGATGCAAAGTTATCATAATATCTTTGCGTGCGATCTTCCGAGATCTGTGGACACAGTGACGTCATGAGGAGGGAAATCGTAGCTTCAGTTTTAAGAGCGGAGTGAACTAGCCCTTCTATTCTCTTTAGCCCTGTGTGAATGTGGCCCACTCTATAAACGGGTACCTGTGGCAGTCTGGCGTGGGTAATGTTGCTCGCCTCCGCGACCTAGGCTCACAGGTGCCCATTGGGTAACGTTAAATGAGTAATACTTCCGGCATTGTCCTAGGCGAACGACGTAAAAGTTCAGTGCCTGCCATTAGAAAAAAAATTCTTAATGATTGGATCAAAAGTTTGTCAACTTAGCTTCGACCATAATAATATTAGTCATTTTCTTTCGAAAGTGACTGAAAGTTTCTTATTTGACATCGAAAGCCCACAAAATGCAAAGCACAAAATTCTGCATCAGTAGAGTAATAGAAAGAAGGTTATTGTTTGAAAATTAAAAGATTTATGTAAGTTAAATAATTGATAAATAAGTTAAACAAAAACAATTGTAAGGAAAATTAAAATTCAAATTTTTTTTTCACCATCCTGGTATACTGGGTGCAGTACACTAGTGATACTGGGTCCGGTGTCATACTGGAATCAATTTAATACCGGCGTATGAAAAGCCGGTCCCGGTATGATACTGGTTCCGGTTCAAACTGGAATAAATTTTATACCGGCTTATGAAACACCGGTCCCGGTATTATACTAGTTCCAGTATCATACCGGAAAAAATTTATACCGGCTCATGGTATATCGGTTCCGGTATGATACTGGGTCCGGTATCATACTGGGATCAATTTGATACCGGCTTGTGAAACACCGGTTCCGGTATGATACTGAGTTCGGTATAATGCCGGTTCCAGTATCATACCAGAACCGATGTTTCTTTAGCCGATATAATTTTTTTATACCGGAAATTTTTTCCAATAGGGGCCAAATCAAAATTTTTTTAAAACAACTTCTATCATTCCTCAAATTAATCTAGCACTGAGACTCTTTTTACACACGAGAACTGGTCTAGAACTATTGTACAATTAATTAAGCATAGCTGACGTCAATCATGAAATAGCAGTTGTTTTCGAATTTATGAAACCGAAAAGTACCCAATAATCATAATAACAGAAAAATAAATGCACTAATACGATGCAAACGTTTCTTTAATGCAGTTTTTTGTTTTTTTGTCACAGTTTTCGTTTTAATCTGGAGATAACACTGGTGCTAAATTTTGTTTGCTTAAAGGTTAATATATAAAAAAAGGATAATGTTAGCAGTAGAGGATAATTTGTGGCATACAGTGAAAATGATGCTATTTGCTTATAGGCATTTAAAAGGGAAAATTTGTGCAGAAAAAAATATATAATTAAAGTTATTCAGTTACGGTTGTAATAGTTATAAGCTATTATTTCCGTAATTCAAAGCAAAATTTCATTTATACAATTATGTTACCGATTACCATAAATCTTTAAAACTTTAGGAGTAAAAAATCTAATATATATAATTCTCTTACGTGGCTCCAAATTTTGGCTGTATTTCTTTTCCCCCGGTGGCAACGTTTGCTTTGTTTTGTTTACGTTACTATTTCTCTTACACGGCGAATCGACCAATGATTGCTGCTAAAAATGTCACATGCCAAATCTAAATGAGGTGGCTCAACATATAGCGCTTTTAAAAACAGAAACTGAAATAACCAGAGAGCATCAGCTGCGGCAATCTCATACTATTAAACTAGGCAGAAGTGAGCAGTCTTTGTCGATAGATCTCTATTTTAGTATTTTGTCGAAAGCGCTATTTTTCACG